AGTAAGGTTTAAAAATTTGTGTCTTTCTTTGGTATTCCTTCAAGTAATTTAAATAGGATTTTCCTTCCACTTTTAACAGGACTGTCTTCTAAAAATCATTCTACCTTAAAAATGTCCAGTAGCAATAACAAAAAATGTAAAAAAAAAACCCCACAACAAAATATTGATTAAATCAATTTAGTTTCACTAATTTACAAAAGGCAGAACTGACCCAATTTCTCCAACAAGATGACATTACTCCCATGTGTGCAACAAGGATACTTGTGGACCACCTCCTAAACCTATAGATACAGTGAGCTGGTAAATTTTATTTGTGACTATGGTTTTGCAGGACTCTGAGGATGGCCCTGCAGGTCAAGGAGCCACTTCACCAGCTACTTTTACTATGATCAAAGAGCAAAAATTGTTAAGATCACTTCTTAACATGGTTCATGTGCATTAAAAACATACAAACCCTACAGGCATTCCTGTCCATGTAAAAGAACAAAAAGACATTGAGGCTGAAGCTATAAAAAAAAAAAAATTAAGATTTCAATGAATGGTAGGTCAGCATGAAATTTTGTGAAATACAGAGAAAACAGGAATAGAGATAATGACTAATATAATATTGGCTAAGCAGCACTGCTTTGAGACTGACTTCTGAGCTTCTGTATTTTAGACAGTTTAACTCTCCAGTTTAAAACAAAGAAATATAACAAATCATATTAATGCTTCAGAACTTCTTTTTTGCGTGTGCATGTTAATTACAAGAAGGTGAGGTAAGGAAAAGCCCAGAGAAGAACACAGATCCAAAACCACGAGCAGTGTGACTTCCAACACAGCTCTGTCTGAGCCATCTGAGTCCTTCAACCTCCGACCACTCAGTAGCCAGCTCCCAGGAGCTCAGATCCAGCTCTGAACTAGCTGGGCTCATCTGTCCTAGGACAATCTTATGGGGGTTGCCATTAAAATCAGATTACAGATTATGAAAATTCTCATTTTCAGTGAGGAAGCAGTATGCTTAATAAACACAGACCCAGAATTCAGTATTTTTTTTAAACATTAGGCTGATACTGAAAAGATGTAGACATCCACCTGAGTTTCAGCAGGTTACTTGATTATTTTCAGCTAATGCACTAAACTGCTACTGACAGGAATTCAGGAACCTATGGACATTATTGCTTCTGATTTCAGTTGAGGCTGTCCAATTAACTAGTCTTGTGCTACTGAATATAATTATTTCACTAAGTTGTTTTATTTTCAAGTATCTTGCACTTGGCTTACTGAAATAATTTTCTAAAATCTAGAGTAGTTAGAATCACAGGCAAATATGAAATTTATAGAACACATTAAAACTTCTCATCCCTCTAATACTAAAGCAAAGAAGTATTTCTACTGTCTTCTTTACCATCTGCTTTTGGGGAACTGCTTGATGGAAACTAAGCACTTAGAAGGAACCACTTTATTTATGATTTTTAGTATGTGCTAAAGTGAAAAAAACCCAACCTCAATCATGCATTTATTTGCTTTCCTGGAACTGGACGGCCAGAATGTCACTGCTGCAGTGGCACCAAGTAACAACACTTTGCTCAGCAAAACACTGTGCCCTGATCTGTCAGGAGAAAGACTGGGTGAAAAGTTCGCTATAACCAACCATCTCAGCAGTTCTGTGCTCTAATGTCAGGATCCAACTGGCGTGGATTTAATATGTAGTTAGGCTGAGCAGATCCAGTACAAAAACCACCATCAGTAACTTGTATAACAATTAATTCAGCTCCTAAGTACTTCAAAAATGGAAAATACTATTTTAAATGTATGACTTCACATCAAAGACACACTATTGTATAAAAGATTATACAATGCAGTTTAACTCTCCACAGTCAGTGCAATCTCAAAATACAGTTTTCTGTTTTCTAAAAGTGCCAGAGAATATCAGAAATTCTAAACATAAAGTTTGGAGACATCATCAATCAAACATTTTAAAATCTTAATAAAAACTAAGTAAATACATTAAGTCCACTGGTCCTTAAGAGAAAAAAGAAAATATATTCAAATTTCTCCCAATTCCAATAATGTTTTTCTGATTCTCATTACAATTTACTGCAAAACTCAACTGTCCTTTTAAACATTATAAATCCTTTCAAATCAGTTGGAAGCCTTTTGCTTGTGCCATTTATGTAACAAAGAAGTGAATACACAAGCTAATTTAAAGTATATAGCTCAAGCACCGTTTCCTTCAAGATCATCTCATGTAAGACTTTGAATGACATCATATAAAAAAATGTCAACAGGTAAGACTCCACATTACTAACATCAGCCATACGTCGAATAACTAGAAGCAGAGGTGAAAAGTTAAGTTTAATGATTAAATAACAAAGCACCAAGTTCCTTACACTCATTCCTTATTCCTTATGCTGCTTGGATATTAACATCCAAGATAGGCACCTGGCAATTCTGGGAATGAGCACTGGAAATCAAGTTGTTTGTTGTTCACCTACAGACATTACGTGCATTATCATTACCTAGGCCCTCTCTTCTGAAAGGAAATAGTTCTTCAATTTTTTAGGAGTAACATGTCCTAAATTCCAGAGCCTGGAATGGCCAGGAAGCTGGAAGCCCTGATAACAAACAATGCTAGAACTGCATCAGTGGCAACAATCAGCACAGTGGATTGCTAGAAACCAGTGGGCCAAACCATGTACCTTGTGAAACCTACGTAATATTTGTCATTGGTTCAAATAACTAGACTTAGGGTCTGACTAAAAAGAACTCTTGTATTAAAATCACTTTTTAAAGAGTCTATATACAATCTCTATGGAGAGACCCTGGAGGAAGATCAAAACCTCCCTCCCTCGGGGAATTCCAGCTTGCCAGCTCCTGGCTCCCACTAAGTAAGGTTTTGGGGCTTTCTGAAGGACTGCTCATCCAGTTGTGTGTTGCAGCACTGAACTGCAATATCTATCTTTTATGTCAAAACAAAGAAGTTTTTCATTTTCAGTACTATTCTCCATCATTAACAAAATGAAGAAAAGAGTTCGACATTGGTACTCACAAGTATTTCAAAGCAGATCTAACACACAGGCATAGCTCTCCCCTTATTTCAGACCTTGTCCAGACTGAAAAATCACTTTCTAAAACACAGGCTAGGTGCCAATCGTATTCAAAAGTGAAATTTAGATGGTCACAAATTTAGTTCAAATAGTTGTTGCCTCTATAAAATCTGGTCCTCACCTGTACAATTTACTAAAGCTTAGCTATTTACTCTGCAGTTAACTTCAATCTACATTTTAGCATCTTAACATAGGTGACATAAAGCACCTCTGATGTGAATTTCAGAACATCCAGGTATGAAAATAAAAAAAGACTAATTGGAAAAATAAGAGGAAACTAACAATACTATGACTGTAGTTTATTTCTAGTATCCATGTTGTTTCTTCTTCAACTGTCAGGTCACAGCTGGAGTTTCATTATCACACACTGCCCTATGATCTCTTATCTCATCCTTCTCCCTTTGAGGGAACAAGTATTTTTGATACCTTTCGGCATGCTGGGCGGCAACACTATCACGGGAGTTCTATTTTTATACTAAACCCAGGCATGTCCTGCCTCTAACTCAGTAGCTCAGGCTGGGGAATGTCCATCTAGGATACAGGAAATCCAAAATATTTACTATATTCCTTTGCCTGAGAGAACTGACCCTTTTCCAGCCATCACCCTAACTTCCGTGCTCCACAATATTCATGGGATGAATATGGGTGTGCAGTGCGCTCCTCCTCTCCTGCAGGAGCTGTTCTGCTTAGCTGTAATTAAGTATTTCCACTGTAATTGAATACTTTTACTGTATTTTCATATTAATGAAGTATTTCTTTAGCTCAGAGTGAGAGAAATTCAAGTAGCATTGCCAGAAGTAAGGCTCTCATCTGGGAATGGTGATACCCACTTACTGGTCCTCCTGCATGTGTGACTACATCACTCGGTACAAAGGAAGGTGACATAAGCACCAAACTAGAGGGGTTTTTACTCTATTGTGCAGTGAGCTCCTGACCTGCGCAAAGCAGGAACTAAGGCCGTAGGAGATACGAGAGCACCATGCCCCTTAACAGAAGGGATAAACCATTAAACCAGCAGGTGCAGAAGCCAGATCCTCCACGGTATCAGAGAGGTTTCACTCTTTTCCACTTTCTGGGCATGTGGTATCACTGCTAGATTTAAACATAGGCAGATAAACACTTCCCATGATGCACACATATATAGCAGGAGAGGGGAAGGAGATAGCCCCTGAGAGAAGACCTTATCCAACACCGAAGTTCCCAGCCGCCCGGGAGCTAGGCTGTGTCGGATCTGAGCTGCCCGCCAGGACCAGCCAGACCTCAGAACCAAACCCAAACCACAGCCACCACAGCCCGGAGGCCCATCACCAAGCCGGGGCCTGTCGAGGCGATGCCTGGCCGAACAGCCTCGCTTTGTCCTCACACACAAGTCCCCAGCTCCAACCGCCGTCCGCGCCGCTTCTCCCGCAGTCCGCCATCTCCCGAGGCGGCTAACAGGGAACGAGTGTCCACACCAGCCAAGCACGACCCTGGGTCCCCCTCGGAGCTCTGCCAGGGCAGCCCCTCGGAGCGCCGCCATCCTCCCCGTTCCGCCTCACTCACCCGCTGCGCCTTCTCCCAGACCTGGTTCAGCCTCACCACACGGAACTCCCCGGCTTCCCGCCGCTTGGCGCCGGCGGCCGCCAACCCCTCGTTGGCCTCCCGGGAGTACTTGCCGGCCTGGGAGGCAGCGGCCAGAAGCAGCGCGGCAGCGAGAACCGCCAGAGCCCGCGGCGCCGCCATGTCGCGCTGGGCGGGGAACTACAACTCCCGAGCAACCGTGCGGCTTCCCCGCCTCAAAGCACCGGGCGGCGGCTGCTGGGATGCGGGTTGCGCGCCCTCGTCGGCGGGGAAAGGGGTGTTTGTATAGGGAAACAGGCTGAAAATCCGGTTTAGGTGGGAAATTTAGTGTCTAGTTTGGGGTCTGGGTAGCGTGGGAAGAATTAGGTTTGGGCTGTTTCTTTTCAACCGGCTTCGTGTCATTCGCTTGAGTGTTTGCTTCATAAAGTGTGGAAATGTGCTGACACTGGCGCTTTTTGTGAGTGGTTTGGTTGGTTTTGGTTTTGTTTTTTTTTTTCTGCAGCCTGTAATAACTACAGCGAACACTTTCCTGTAGCCTGTGTGTCCCTCAGCTGTGTGAGGAAAGGAAGACGTGATGGGTTTAAACACCACCCCGTGATCAAGTGAAGTTGCCAGATATTAGCACAATGTTCAGGAGTATACAGGAAAATAAAAGGCAGCTCAGGAAGCAGGAAAGGCAAGAATGGGGACCAGCTCCCCAGTACTGCCTATGAGGGGAAGAAGGTCTTTGTCCTCTCTTGGAGGTGGTAGTGGAGGACACCACAGCCCAGGATAAGACATAGGTTTGGTGATGTGGGGGGAAAGAGGACTTTGAGAAATGTAATAAGTAGATTGGGTTGTTATTGAGAGGTGATCTATAGGAATGCTGCTGAGGTTGGTGGTGTGTGGTGAGTGCAGCTCTTGGGCAAGAGGCAACCTCCCTTTGCAGTGCTTCCTCCTCAAGTAGGAAGCCAAAAAGTGCAGTAGACAATGGGAAATCTTTGGAAGAAGTCAAGCTGCATTAAGAAAAAACCCATAATGCTGTGAAAATGACTAGTATTTAGTCCAGGGTTGGTATATATCTCCCCCAGTTTTTAAAAAATCTGCTAAAATTGAATTCTGCTATGAAAGAGGTGCAGGAGAGGCAGAGAACATTCCCTCTGAGTGTTTCTGAAGGGAAGGCAGTAGAGAAAGCTGTTCCTTCTACTGTCTTCTTACCATAAAATCACAGAATAGTTAGGGTTGGAAAGGACCTTAAGATCATCTAGTTCTAACCCCCCTGCCATGGGCAGGGACACCTCACACTAAACCATACCACCCAAGGCTCTGTCCAGCCTGACCTTGAACGCTGCCAGAGATGGAACATTCACAACTTCCTTGGGCAACCTGTTCCAGTGCCTCACCACCCTTACAGTAAAGAACTTCTTCCTTATATCTAACCTGAAAGTCCCATGTTTAAGTTTTAACCTGTTACCCCTTCTCCTATCACTACAGCCCCTGATGAAGAGTCCCTTTCTGGCATCCTTGATGAGTCCTGCATACTGCAACGCTAGTGTTGTATGGGATCTTTGGCATAGTAGGGAATTTCTGTATTGAGTTTGTTTAGCAAGGTAGTGGTGAGGTTACTTTCCTGAGCCAAGCTGGAGGTAGACACAAAAGTTCACTTCATAAATTCACCTCAGATCTCATGTGTGACCTTGAGCAAATTCCAGCATAACTCTAGTACTGTCAGCACCAAGCCTTCATGCATTATAAATCAGTCCTAAGAAAACAAATAGATTGCCTAAACTATAATGAGATTTCTGAAAACAATGCCCAAAGGAGGATTTTTACTGGACTCTCATTTTTGCCTTGTAAACTCTATAAAGCTTAATTTTTTTCTCTTCCATATTTTCCTAAATCAGTGCAGAGATTCTCAATCATATGAACCTAGAAGCTGTTACCGTAAGACTAAATTGCAGAAGTGAACAAAAGTATTGCAGTGTACTTTGCATTGAAGAGTAATTAAAGTGAGCATTAAATTATACATTGAAGTATAGTGAATTGATGATGGGAAAAGAAGGCCCATCAGCCTTACCCAAATCTTGCAGGGGTCTCCACATTGATCTTAGGATTTAGATCTTATTTTGGTGTCATTGCAGGGTATATATATATTATAGACTAATTTTGGAACAGACGGTTTCGTCTTGTCTGTCATTTGAAGTATTGATTGAGTTTTCAGGCTCTTTGCAAATAAATTCAACATGCTATATAAATTCTTACAGTTCCCACTCTTGTATTAAATGTAGTTGTGCATAGCTTTATGCATTTGTTTGCTTGCATTTTTGAGCTACACTGGGAAAAAAGTTTAGAAATTGGTAAGGGATGATGCACCTTTAATTTGCTTACAGTGGCTTGCTGGATCTCATTCTCCAGGGTTCTTTACATCTGTGTCAAGTGACCACTGCTTGGTATTGTTCTGTATGTCCTGGCCCAAGTGCTTCACTCCCAGATGTAAAAAGCCAAAATAACTGTATGGAGTTCCGTGTAGAGACTTTGGATTTATATTGGTGTTGATGAGGCCAAACTCATAACAGTGCGCCTTACTGTAAATAAGAAACATGCAGTGGGAGGTAATGGGAAATCAACTCCATTGTTTCCCTTTCCTGTGCATTTTTTGTCAAATGACAGGCTAGGAAAATGTTGGCTTTTCAGCCTGGAGAAGAGAAGCTGCATGGAGACCACATAGCAGCCTTCCAGTGTCCGAAGAGGGCCTACAAGGATGCTGGAGAGGGACTTTTCATTAGGGACTGTGCGGTTGAAGAAGGGGTAATGGGTTCAAACTTAAACAGGGCAAATTGAGGTAAATATATTTACTGTGAGAGTAGTGAGGCACTGGAACAGGCTGCCCAAGGAAGTTGTGAATGCTCCATCCCTGGCAGTATTCAAGGCCAGGTTGGATGGGGCCTTGAGTGACATGGTGTAGTGGAAGATGTCCCTGCCCTTGGCAGGTGAATTGGAACTACATGATCTTTAAGGTCCCTACCAACCCAAACCGTTCCATGATTCTATTAGATTCTCCCTTCATTTTTCCTTAGCACAGCTGAAAAGCAACTCAGCTGGATCCTGAAGACTGTGCCAAAAGTGATATAAACAATGGAAGTTGTTTCAAAATAACTGGACTTCAAAAGAGCAGACTTTGGCCTCTTCAGGAACCTGCTTAGTAAGGTTCCATGGGATATAGCCCTAGAGGGCAGGGGGGCCCAAGACTCTTGGTAGATATTCAAGGGTCAACTGCTGCAAGCTCAGGAGTGTTGCATCTCAACTAGAAGGAAGTGCAGCAGGAGGGCCAGGAGACCTCCTTGGATGGATAAGGAGCTGCTGAGGAAAATTCAAATGAAAAGAGAGGCTTATAATAAGGGGAAGCAAGAACAGGTGGCATGGGAAGAGTACAGGGATGTTGTCTGGGAAGCTAGGGACCAGGTTAGGAAAGCTAAGGCCCAGTCAGAATTAAACTTAGCTAGAGGTATTAAAGATAACAGGAAGGGATTCTACAGGTACATAGCTGTCCTGGGTTCAGAAGTAGCAGTCATGTTTTTTTTTTCCTTTGTGGTAGCTGGTACAGTGCTGTGTTTTGACTTCCAGCCTGAGAACAGTGTTGGTGAAGCTGATGTTTTCAGTTGTTGCTAAGTGATGTTTACCCTGACCAAGGACTTTGTGAGGCTCATGCTCTGCCAGGGAGGAGGGGAAGCCGGGAGGAAGCAGAGACGGGGCGCCTGACCCGGGCTAGCCAGGGAGGCATTCCATACCACAGCAGTCATGGCCGGGATGGGGGGTGACTGGGAGTTACCCGGAAGGACACGGGCTTCCGGGTGGAACTCGTTTTCTTGGCCGGTGGTATCGTATTCTCTTCCCTTGTTATTTTCCGTTATCATTGTTGTAGTTGATAGTAGCGGTGGTGATTTGTGTTGTACATTGGTTGCTGGACTGTTCTTGTCTCAACCCGTGGGAGTTGCATTTTTTCGATCCTCCTCCCCGTTCCTCCGGGAGTGGGGGAGAACCCTGTTGGGGGGGGGGACACGGACCTCAATTGTTGTCAGCTTGGCACCACTCACTGGGAGTGAGTGAACAAGTTACCTGACTGGGTTTAAACCACGACAGTTCTTTTTGGCGCCCAATGTGGGGCACGAGGGGTTGAGATAAGAACAGATCTGACTGGATTGATAGTCACTCGTCACAATGCTGATTTATTGGCTCTCAAGGTTGTTCCTCTTGATCTCACAGTTTCAGTATATCGTATCTTACGTCCATCCGGTATTTGCTGTATTACTGTTTTTCAAGTGTGGGGCTTGGGCTAAGGTTTTTGTCCCATTGTACTTTATGGTAATGACTTGTAATACAATAGAATCATTGATCATGAAACTGATCTGGCTTATGTTCCCAGTGTGGTCAGCACCTTTATACTTTGGGAGGTATATGATGGAGGTGCTTAGCAATTACACATCTTTTTTCTCCTTCTCAGGTGCTCAACCTGTGAAGGAGACATTCTTTTACCCTCCCAGTCGTCCCCCCAGACCATTTACATTTGAGAGTTTTGAATTTTTTGAATGGCATTTTAATGCTGTTGAGACTTGTTTGCTGATGGTGATGGGAATCACCATGCTAACACGCATACAGAGTGTGTTTTGCCCACTACTGATTTCAAGAGTTAAGCAGAGTCAGGTTTGGGTCTTGTCTGGGGTCAAACGACGATGTAGGAGGACCGAGAGATTTTCCCAGAGGATGGACAGCCATGAGTGGCAGGGTGTGTGGGATAGTATGGGCAAGTATCTAGGTCAGTGGGCCCCTCCAGTACTTTGGAATTTCACTACCGAACAACTGCAAAATCCAGAAGAATTAGTAAAACACTTAAATGAGGTGTGTGGTCATTCTGGCCATACCAGAGATGGACAAATCACGGCAACGTGCTGGGGCTTGGCCTATGCTTGCAGGGCCTTGTTCAACACTATCCAGCACCTTAAAAAGGAAAAGAATGTCGGCGGATCTGAGGGCAAAGCAACAGTCGCTACTCAAACTTTGGCTGCAGTGAACTGTGCAGCTACCCCAGCGGCAAGTACAGCAGCTGCTCAAACTTCAACTGCAACAGACAGCGCGGTTACCCCAGCTCCAAGCACAGCAGCTACACCACCCCCAGCAACAAGTACAGTCACTACTCAAACTTTGGCCTCAATGAACAGAGCAGCTACCCCAGTGGCAAGTACAGCAGCTGCTCAAACTTCAACTACAACAAACCACAGTGATAATCAGTGCAGCCAAACCAGAGGACCACTTTGTACCAATATCGGTTGCCCCTGTACGCAAGAGAACAAGTAAAAAGGAGGCAAAAAGGGTGAAGCGAGATGAAGAACCAATGAATTCACCACCCGGTCCAGAATCTGATCAGGAGTCATCATCACATGACGAAGAAGAAGAAGAAGAGGTAACTTTCCGAGCTGCGGAATATGCGAAAAGATTTTACCCGTCAACCAGGGGAGCACATCATCACCTGGTTACTCCGATGCTGGGACAATGGGGCCGATGGTCACGAACTAGAAGGTACAGAAGCCAAGCAGCTGGGATCACTTGTTAGAGAAGGGGGAATTGACAAAGCAATTGCAGGAGAGAAAAAGTCCCTCAGCCTTTGGAGGCGGCTCTTGGCAGCTGTGAAAGAAATGTTTCCGTACAAGGACGATGTTATGAGTCGTTCGGCCAAGTGGACTACTATAGACAAAGGCATCCAGTCTCTGAGGGAATCGGCCATCGTAGAGATGCTCTATCACATCAAGCCGAATAACAGGGATACACCTATAGATCCAGATGAAGTTGAATGTACACGACCCATGTGGCGAAAACTTAGACGGAATGCACCATCATCATTTGCCCATTCATTGGCAACAGTAACCTGGAATGACATAGTACCACTAACAGTGGATGAAATGGTTCATAAACTCCGAGAGTTCGAAAACAACCTCACCCCTTCCATCATCTCAGCTGTGAAAAAACTGTCCCAGGACCTCGAACAATTGAGGGACGATCTGTCTGATTTATCCGG